GCCACATGGAATATTCGTGCCAAGTTTGGTCCAGATCCATCATTGTTTGAGTCCACAGTGCTCTCTGGATGTAGGTGAGCTACAACTCCCAAACTCAAGGTCAATGCCCACCAAACCCTTCCAGTATTTTCTGTTGGTCATGGGAGTTCTGTGTGCCAAGTTTGGTTCAATTCCATCGTTGATGGAGTTCAGAATGCTCTTTGATTATAGGTGAACTATAAATCCCAGCAACTACAACTCCCAAATGACAAAATCATAATTTTTTGGTGATGGTCACTCCTTGTGTTGTGAGACGTTTTGTTGCCAAATTTGGTGTGATTTCGTTCATTGGTTCTTTTGTTTTTAAGGTACTCATTATGCACAGAGCATTTTATATATATAGATTATTACTATTATTATTACATTATATATTGTTATATTTTAATATATAATAATATAATAAAATATAATAAAATATATGTAATAATGTAATAATAATATTATATAATATATAATAATAATCTATTATTATCTATCTATTTTTAGGGTTGAGTGAATGTCTAACTGCATTTAAATAATTAAAATAATATTAAAATGCATACTAATAATTGTTATTATTATTGTATTATTATCATATATATATATATATATATATAAACATGCACTCCTCCCTAAAGATGGATAGATAATCTTCACTGCAAAACTTTCATTTATAATAATAATATATCAATATTAATAATATATTTGATTTTTATTATATATTATATGGTGATGATTATTTTATATATTATTATATTGCATTATTATATGATGATTATATGATTATATGGCTATTATTGTATTGTCGAAGGTTTTCATGGCCGGAATCACTGGGTTGTTGTAGGTTTTTTTCGGGCTATATGGCCATGGTCTAGAGGCATTTTCTCCTGACGTTTTGCCTGCATCTATGGCAAGCCTCTGAGGATGCTTGCCATAGATGCAGGCGAAACGTCAGGAGAAAATGCCTCTAGACCATGGCCATATAGCCCGAAAAAAACCTACAACAACCCAGCCATGTAAATGTTTGTTCTAATGATTATTATTATTATTATTATTATTATTACTATAGAATATATAGAATGGAGTGCAATTAAGGCTAAAGGCCAGGAGGCATAATTAATAATAACTGAAACCGTTTGCAAAATTGCTCAAGGCATTTGCATTCTTTTCCTTTTTCGTTCGTTCTTTCCTTCCTGGCAACCCTTCCTTCCTTCTTTTTGCAGGATTTTACTTGTTGCTTCGAATCATTTGCATCTCATTAAAACGCGTTGCAAACCGTAAACATGCCCGAAACATGTATGGCATCCAGGTGGAGTGGAAAATCCGTTCATAATCCTAATAATCATAATGTAATAGGAATATAATTATACATAGAATATATTATATTATAATATAATGTTATAAACTATTCAATTGCAATAACAATAACAATAATAATGCACTTTAAATAGCCTTATTTATTATTATTATTATTATTATTATTATTATTATTATTATTGGACTACATGACCTTTGGTGTTTTCTCTATGAGTCTTCAAAGAGCTATTCAATTGCATTAATTATTATTATTATTATTATTATTATTATTATTGGACTACATGACCTTTGGTGTTTTCTCTATGAGTCTTCAAAGAGCTATTCAATTGCATTATTATTATTATTATTATTATTATTATTATTGGACTACATGACCTTTGGTGTTTTCTCTATGAGTCTTCAAAGAGCTATTCAATTGCATTATTATTATTATTATTATTATTATTATTATTATTACTGGACTAAATGACCTTCGGTGTTTTCTCTATGAGTCTTCAAAGAGCTATTCAATTGCATTAAAATTATTATTATTATTATTATTATTATTATTATTATTATTGGACTAGATGACCTTTGGTGTTTTCTCTATGAGTCTTCAAAGAGCTATTCAATTGCATTATTATTATTATTATTATTATTATTATTATTGGACTACATGACCTTTGGTGTTTTCTCTATGAGTCTTCAAAGAGCTATTCAATTGCATTATTATTATTATTATTATTATTATTATTATTATTATTATTGGACTACATGACCTTTGGTGTTTTCTCTATGAGTCTTCAAAGAGCTATTCAATTGCATTATTATTATTATTATTATTATTATTATTATTGGACTACATGACCTTTGGTGTTTTCTCTATGAGTCTTCAAAGAGCTATTCAATTGCATTAAAATTATTATTATTATTATTATTATTATTATTATTATTGGACTAGATGACCTTTGGTGTTTTCTCTATGAGTCTTCAAAGAGCTATTCAATTGCATTAAAATTATTATTATTATTATTATTATTATTATTATTATTTTTATTATTATTATTATTATTATTATTATTTTAATGCACTTTTAATAGCCCCTTTAATATTAGTATTATTATTATTGGACTAGATGACCTTTGGGGTCCCCTATGAGTCAAATTTTCGGAGCCCCCGGTGGCGCAGTGGGTTAAAGCACTGAGCTGCTGAGCTTGTTGATCGAAAGGTCGCAGGTTCGATTCCGGGGAGCGGCGTGAGCTTCCACTGTCAGCCCTAGCTTCTGCCAACTTAGCAGTTCGAAAACATGCAAATGTGAGTAGATCAATAGGTACCTCCGGCGGGAAGGTAACGGCGCTCCATGCAGTCATGCTGGCCACATGACCTTGGAGGTGTCTACGGACAACGCTGGCTCTTCGGCTTAGAAATGGAGATGAGCACCACACCCCAGAGTCAGACATGACTGGACTTAATGTCAGGGGACTACCTTTACCTTTACTTTGAGTCAAATTATTATTATTATCATTATTATTAATAATAATAATAATAATGTTAAGGCACTATTATTATTATTATTATTATTATTACTATGGTTATTATTTGAATGCATTTTAAAAATTATTACCATTATTATTTTAATTGAACTGTTATTATTGTAATGCACTTTAAATATCCTTTTAAATATTATTTTTCATATTATGATTGGACTAGATGACCTTTAGGAACGCCCTTCCCAGAGATATTAGATCGGCTCTCACTCTCCTAACATTCCGAAAAAAAGTCAAAACCTGGCTTTGTGTGCAGGCTTTCTCAAATGCAATGTAGTAAATAATTACTTGACCTCGGAACGGCTGGACAATTGCAATCGGATAAAGATTCTGGAAATTAGATACGGAGGATTTATGTTTGATGTTTCATTGATTTTATTGTTTACTAGCTGTCCCCTGCCACGCGTTGCTGTGGCCCAGTCTGGTGATCTGGAATATAAAGTAATGAGAAAGTGTTGGTTTCTAATATATGTAATTCCTTTCTGCTTGTGAGTAAACAGTATTTCTTGTTGTTTCTTTGTCAGTGTTGATGTGGAGAGTGTCTGGTTTGCCTACTCTGGAATATGCAACATATCATAGTCCTTCTTTAAGGGTCTCTTTCAAATCTATGATACTATATCTGTGTGTGTGTGTGAGAGAATCATATCTATCTATATTTATGACTGGATGGCTCTTTGTCAGGAGGGCTCTGATTACATTTTCTTGCCCTGGTGAAGGGAGTTGGACTGGATGGCCTTAAGTATTTTCTGTTGGTCATGGGGGTTCTGTGTGGGAAGTTTGCCCCATTTCTGTCGTTTGTGGGTTTCAGAATGCTCTTTAATTGTAGTGAACTATAAATCCCAGTAACTACAAATCCCAAATGTCAAGGTCTATTTCCTCCAAACTCCATCTGTGTTCATATTTAGGCATATGGAATATTTGTGTCAAGTTTGGTCCAGATCATCATTGTTTGAGTCCACAGTGCTCTCTGGATGTAGGTGAACTACAACTCCCAAACTCAAGGTCAATGCCCACCAAACCCTTCCAGTGTGTTCTGTTGGTCATGGAAGTCCTGTATGCCATGTTCGGTTGAATTCCATCATTGGTGGAGTTCAGAATGCTCTTTGATTGTAGATGAACTATAAATCCCAGTAAGTACAAATCCCAAATGTCAAGGTCTTTTTCCTTCAAACTCCATCTGTGTTCATATTTGGGCATATGGAATATTCGTGCCAAGTTTGGTCCAGATCCATCATTGTTTGAGTCCGCAGTGCTCTCTGGATGTGGGTGAACTATAATTCCCAAACTCAAGGTCAATGTCCACCAAACCTTTCCAGTTCTTTCTGTTAGTCATGGGAGCCCTGTGTGCTAAGTTTGGCCCAATTCCATCATTGGTGGAGTTCAGAATGCTCTTTGATTGTAGGTGAACTATAAATCCCAGTAACTACAAATCCCAAATGTCAAGGTCTATTTCCTCCAAACTCCATCTGTGTTCATATTTGGGCATATGGAATATTCGTGCCAAGTTTGGTCCAGATCCATCATTGTTTGAGTCCCCAGTGCTCTGGAGCCCTGTGTGCTAAGAACTCCATCATTGGTGGAGTTCAGAATGCTCTTTGATTGTAGGTGAACTATAAATCCCAGCAACGACTGTTAGGTGTCTTGTGTCCAAATTTGGTGTCAATTCCCCCAGTGGTTTTTGAGTTCTGATGGTAGCACGAACTAACATTACATTTTTATTTATATAGATGGAATTTTATGGATGTTTATATGCTCTCAAGCTGAGAAGGGCGGTATAGAAATATAGTAAGTAAGTAAATAAATAAGTAAGTAAGTAAGTAAATAAGTAAGTAAGTAAATAGGGTTCCCTATAGGAGTCTTCAATACTTTCATTATTTACACTTATAATAATAATAATAATAATAATATAATTAATAATAATAATAATAATAATAATAATAATAATAATAATATAATAACTGGAAAGGGTTAAAGTTTTGCAAAGTTTTCTCTCTCTCTCTCTCTCTCTCTCTCTCTCTCTGAGTGAATCCCTAAATGGCCCCAAAATAAGACCTGGGTGTTGACCGCCTGCAATGAAAGGCCTTCCTTGTGTGTCCATCCTTAGTGACCACTCTGTTTGCAGAAAGGGAGGGAAAGCAAAGCAAAAAGCAAAGCAAAGCAAGAAATACATTCATTCATTCATTCGTTACAATTCCTTTGGAGAGAGGTAGCAGGCAGCTAAAGGTAAGTGGCATTACTATTATCAAATAATAATAATAATAATAATAATAATAATAATAATAATAATATTTTATTTATCGTGTCATCCGCAACCAGAACATTGTATAATAATAATAATAATAGTTATAATAATAATAATAATAATGTGATATGAATAAGAATAATATATTTAACAATATAATATACTAATATTTATATATAATCTAATGTAACATAATCTATATAAATAAAAATGTAAGGTTCGTTCGTGCTACCATCAGAACTCAAAAACCACTGGGGGAATCGACACCAAATTTGGACACAAGACACCTAACAACCCAATGTATGTCCTCCACTCAAAAAAATTGATTTTGTCACTTGGGAATTGTCGTTGCTGGGATTTATAGTTTACCTACAATCAAAGAGCATTCTGAACTCCACCAGTGATGGAATTGGGCCAAACTTAGCACACAGGGCTCCCGTGACCAACAGAAAAAACTGGAAGGGTTTGGTGGGCATTGACCTTGAGTTTGGGAATTATAGTTCACCTACATCCAGAGAGCACTATGGACTCAAACAATGATGGATCTGGACCAAACTTGACACAAAAATTCCATATGCCCAAATATGAACACAGATGGAGTTTGGAGGAAATAGACCTTGACATTTAATACATACATACATGTATTATATTGCAGGGTGAACTAACTCCCATGAGGGTGGGTTAGTCCTCCCCCCCGCCTGCAAACTCTTCCATAATGTTCAGTTGGTTGGTCACCAGGGTTTTGTGTGTCATTTTGGTCCAGATCTGTCATTGATGAGGTTCAGAGTGCTCTGGATGCAGAGTGAACTACAACTCCCATGTGGGTAGGTTGGTGCCCCCACAAACACCTCCAGTATGTTCAGTTGGTCAACAGGGTTCTGTGTTCAAACTTTGGTCCAGATTCGTCATTGATGGGGTTCCAAGTGCTCTGAATACTTCTTGAACTACAACTCCCACATGGGTGGGTCAGTTCCCCAAACCCCTCCAGTATGTTCTGAGGGTTTTGTGTCCCAAGTTTGGTCCACATCCGTCAGTCGTGGAGGTTCCAGTGGTCTCTGGAAGTGAGTGACGGTGCTGCAAATTCCATTGTCTGTGGTCCATCCTCCCCAACCCTCAGTAGGACAGAAAGTGCGTCATAGGGAGTGCCAAACTTGCTCCAGGTGCATCATTCGTTTGGGTCGCAGTGGTTTCTGGAAGTGAGTGAAGATACTGCAATGCCCATCATCCCTGGTTCATCCCCTCCCAAAACTCACCAAGATGTAAAGTACATCATGGAGAGTCTGTGTGGCAAGTTTGGTCCAAGTCTGTCATTCGTGAGGGTCTCAGTAATCTCTGGATATGGATGAAGGTACTGCAAATCCCATCATTCGTGGTCCATCCTCCCCTAAACTGCACCAGGACATATAGTGGGTCATGGGGGGATCTGTGTAGCAAGTTTGGTCCAGGTCCATCATTTTTGGGGGCTACAGTAATAATAATAATAATAATAATAATAATAATAATAATAATTATTATTATTATTATTATTATTATTTTGTATTCCACCCTATCTCCCTAAGGGGACTCAGGGCGGATTCCAGCATAACAATGCAGTGGTCCCTGGAAGTGAGTCAAAATACTGCAAGTCCCATCATCTGTGGCAAGTTTGGCCCAGATCCATCGTTGGTTGGGTTCACATTGTTTGGGGAGGACATGGGCAGCGTTTGGGTGACATGTTCATGGTGCTCGCTCTAACCTGGAATGCCAGTGGAGAGAGTGTCTTTGGTGGCTTCTCAGCACTTGCAACTATAGCCTTTTGTGGAGGCAGGAGGCTGTCAGTGTAAGTGGATACACATTTTCGCTTTTATTATGTGTATAGATAATAATGTAACATTTACTATAATAAAATATTATAATATAATACCATCTCTCTCTCTCTCTCTCTCTATCCCTTTATTGATCCATCTATCTGTCAGGACCTGTAGGTAGGCCTCTCTTAGGTTCATCACTCTAGCTATTATCTTTCTGTCTATCTATCTATCTATCTATCTATCTATCTATGACAATAAAAAATCAGGGATATTGCTCTAGATGTCATTTGAGGGTCACTTCTATCTATCCACATATCTTATCTACTATCTATGATAATAAGATCAGAGAGATTGTTTTAAGATGACTTTTGGGGTCCATTCCATCTATCTCTTCATCCATCTCTCAATCTATGTTTGTATTGGGACCTGAAGGTAGGCCACTCTTAGGTCTATCATGCTATCATCTATTTATCCATCCATCCATCCATCCATCCATCCATCCATCCATCCATCCATCTAATCCATCTATGTATGTATTAGAACCTGAAGGTAGGCCTCTCTTAGGTCCATCGCTCTATCATCTATCTATCTATCCATCCATCCATCCATCCATCCATCCATCCATCCATCCATCTATATCTGTATTAGAGCCTGAAGGTAGGCCTCTCTTAGGCCCATCACTCTATCACCTATCTAACTATTCATCCATCCATCTATCCATCTATGTATGAGAACCTGAAGGTAGGCCCCTCTTGGGCTCATCACTCTATCATCCATCCATCTATCTATTTATCCATCCATCTATCTATCTATTCATCCGGCCATCTGTCCATCTATATATGTATTAGAATCTGAAGGTAGGCCTATCACTCTATCTCTCTATGCATCTATCTATCTATCTATCTATCTATCTACCTATCTATTCATATCTATCTATCTATCTATCTATCATCTATCTATCTATCTATCTATCTATCAGGACCTGAAAGTAGGCCTCTCTTAGGTCTATCACTCTATCATCTGTCTAACCCTAGTCCATCCCAAGTACTATCTACTCCATACCAAGGTCATCTACTCCATTGAGTCCATTCAAAGCGGAACTAGAGGCCATCTAGACCATTCTCCTCAGTTTGGATTCCTTTTGTTATTATCCCACCAGGAGCCAATAACTTCTAACCCCATCCCTTCACCCATCTAAAGAGTCATCGACTCCATCTAATGAGGCATTGGGCCCCTCTAAAGGACATATACATTGAGTCTATCTAATGGGTCATTGAGACATCCAAAGGGTCATCTAGTCCATTGAGTTTATCTAATGGGTCATTGAATCAATCTAAAGGGTAATCCAATCCATCCAAAGGGTCATTGAGTCCATCCACAGGGTCATCTACTCCATTGAGTCCATCCAAAGGGTCATCTACTTCATCCAAAGGGTCATCATTAAGCACATCCAGAGGGCCACCTGCTCCATCCAATCCATCCAGTCATTGAACCCATACAAAGGACCATCTAGTCCATTGAGTCTATCTAATGTGTCATATAGTTCATCTAAAGGATCATCCAATCCACCCAGAGGGTCCTCTACTCCATCCAATCCATCCAAAAAGCCATCTATTCTATAGAGTCCATCTAAAAGGTTATCTAGTCTGTACCAGGGTCATCTACTCCATTGAGTCCATCCAAAGGGCCATCTAGTTGAATCAATCCAAAGGGCCATCTAGTCCATTGAGTCCACCGAAAGGGTCATTTACTCCATTGAGTCCATTCAAAAGGTCAACTAGAAGCCATCTAGACCCTTCTCCTCAGTTTGGATCCCTTCTGTTATTATCCCAACAGGTGCTGATAAACTGTCCCCATCATGGAGTCGGCCAACTTGGGGGATACTCCCGACGCATCCGAGGATGTGGCCCAGGCAAATGATTCCTTCCCTCTGTCTTCATTGGCCAACCTTTTTGAGACCGAGGAAGCCGAGGTGTCCGCTTCTTCTTCATCACCTCCGTCTTCGTCAAAAGGAGACGGGAAGCAGAACCTGCGTGCACGGTTCCAGGGGGCCTTCTGGAAGGGCGTTCCTGGCCTGGAGACGACCCTCTATGACTCAACGGTGGCCCCAGCCCCCAAGAAGGCCCCCATGGACTCCCTCTTTGACTATGGCACCCAGAGGCACCTGCCCAATGACAGCAAGTGGAGGCGGAAGAGGTTGGGCCTCGAGTAAGTACAAGGGGCCCCCAGAGGGCAACCAGATAGGCCTCCCTTTATGGAACCTGGAGTCATTAGAGGCCTACCTTCAGTTTCTGATAGATAGCTGGATATATATATATATATATATATATATATATATATATATATACATACAGAGAGAGAGAGAGAGAGAGAGAGAGATAATAGAGTGATGGACCTAAGAAAGGCTTACCTTCGGGTCCCGATAGAGACACAGACAGAAAGACAGACAGACAGATAGATACAAAGATGGATGGATGGATGGATGGATAGATAGATAGATAGACAGATACAAAGATAGATAGATAGATAGATAGATAGATAGATAGATAGATAGATAGAGTTAGAGTGATGGACCTAAAAGAGGCCTACTTTCAGGTCCCAATAGACCAGGGGTCCTCAAACTAAGGCCCGGGACCAGGATACAGCCCTCCAAGGTCATTTACCCGGCCCTCATTCAGGGTCAACCTAAGTCTGAAATAGATCCGTCATTATGGTCCACACGTGCATAACCTAAGTCTGAAACAACTTGAAGGCACACAACAACAATCCTATCTCATCAGCCAAAAGCAGACCACACTTCCCATTGATATACTAATAATTATGTATTTGTTAAAATTGTTCTTAATTTTAATTATTGTATTGTTTTAAAGTTTTTTTCCACTACAAATAAGATATATGCAGTGTGCATAGGAATTCATTCATATTTTTTTCAAATTATAATCCAGCCCTCCAACAGTTTGAGGGACTGTGACCTGGCCCTCTGTTTAAAATGTTTGAGGACCCCTGTGATAGATGGATGGATGGATGGATAGATAGATAGATAGAGACAAAGTTAGAAAGATAGGTAGATAGATAGATAGATAGATAGATAGACAGACAGACAGAAAGATAGATACATACATAGATAGATCGATATTGGGACCTGAAGGTAGGCCTCTCTGAGGTCCATCACTCTATCATCTATCTATCTCTCCAGCTGTGTATCTGTTCATCTGTCTCTTCGTCTATGCATCTATCTATATGCAACTATCTATTTAACTATCTATCTATTTGCCTCTCTCTCTCTCTCTCTCTCTATATATATATATATATATATATATATCGGGACCTGAAGATAGACCTCTGTTAGCTCCATCACTCTATCATCTCTATCTGTCTGTCTGTCTATCTATCTATCTATTGGGATCTGAAGGTAGGTCTCTCTTAGGTTCATCACTCTCTCTCTCTCTCTCTCTCTCTCTATCATCTATCAATCTATCAATCTATCTGTTGGGACCTGAAGATAGGCCTCTCTTAGGTTCATCAGTCTCTCATTATCTATCTGTCTGTCTGTCTGTCTGTCTATTGGGACCTGAAGGTAGGCCTCTCTTAGGTCCATCACTCTCTATCTATCTATCTATCTATCTATTTATCTATCTATCTAATGGGACCTGAAGGTAGGCCTCTCTTAGGTCCATCACTCTCTCACTATCTATCTATCTATCTATCTATCTATCTATCTATCTATCCATCCATCTCTTTGTCTATCTATGATAATAGTAAGATCAGGAAGATTGGTCTAGATTGTTGGGCGAGCGGGCTTAATAAGAAAAGACCCTCCTCATAAATGCACAGCAGAGTAACTTATCAGCAGCATGACACAGCACCAATAGCCCAAAGTGATAAAAAGAAAAAATCCTTGTTAATATTTAATATTTCTGACATTGATGACCTTTAGAGGTCCCTTCCATTATTATTATTATTATTATTATTATTATTATTTTGAGGCTGGATGGCCTTTGGAGGTCCCTTCAGAGCTTTCTGAACCTATGGAGCCTTCTATTCTGGGCTTCTTCGTTCCTCTTTTTCGTTCCCTTCTTCTGGCAAAAGGTGGAAGCATTTCCTGAAAAGAAGACCTGAAAGAGGCCATTCATTCATTTATTACATTCGTTTCTTCATTCCTTCCATTCATGACTCACCTCTGGGAACAGAAAGTGATTAGTTTCAAACATTTCATTAAAAAGAAATTCCTCCTGATATATTTTTCACATATACATGTAGTGTGAATCATGATATATGACCATGATATATTATATATATATATATATATATATATATATATATATATATATATATATATATATTATTTGCATCACTCTATATTTGTATTTTAGGTTTTATCTATCTAATTTTATCTATTATTTTTATTCCCTATTTTTATTTTATTTGTAGTATTATATATTGATATTTTAAGTGTATATATATATATATATATATATATATATATATAATTTATATTATTTTATTTATTTTTTATTTGTATTATATATTTGTATTTTAGGTTACACACACACCATACACACACTTTATTTTTATGGTATTTTAAAATTTTATTTCTTGTTATTATATATTTGTAGGTTCTTGTGGGTTTTTTCGGGCTATAGAGCCATGTTCTAGAGGCATTTCTCCTGACGTTTCGCCTGCATCTATGGCAAGCATCCTCAGAGGTGTGAGGTCTGTTGGAAGTAGGAAAAATGGGTTTATATATCTGTGGAATGGCTGGGGTGGGGCAAGGAGCTCTTCCCTGCTGCAGTTGGGTGTGAATGTTTAGCTGATCACCTTCATTAGCATTTGAAGGCCTGCCTGAGCCTGGAAAAATCTGTTGCTGGGAGGTGTTAATCTGTGCCTGGTTTTTTCCTCTCTGTTGTTTAGCTGTTATAATTTTAGAGTTTTTTAATACTGGTAGCCAGATTTTGTTCATTTTCATGTTCTCTTCCTTTCTGTTGAAATTGTCCACATGCTTGTGGATTTCAATGGCTTCTCTGTGTAGTCTGACATGGTGGTTGTTGGAGTGGTCCAGCATTTCTGTGTTCTCAAATAATATGCTGTGTCCAGGCTGGTTCATCAGGTGCTCTGCTATGGCTGACTTCTCTGGTTGAAGTAGTCTGCAGTGCTTTTCATGTTCCTTGATGCGTGTCTGGGCGCTGCGTTTGGTGGTCCCTATGTAGACTTGTCCACAGCTGCATGGTCTACATAGGGACCACCAAACGCAGCATCATCCATGGTCCACCCTCCCCCAAATCACACAAGGATGTAAAGTGTGTGTGGGGGTCTCTATGCCCAGAGTGGTCCAGATCCATCATTGGTTGGGTTCATAGTGCTCTCTGGATGTAGGTAAACTACAACTTTATAAATCATGGTCATCCCCCCCCCCAAAGGTGGTCATGAGGGTTCTGTGTGCTGAATCAGTGCTGTGTCTTGATGCAGGGTGAACTACAACTTCCATCATTTGGAGTGAGTGCCCCAACCCCCTCCAGTATGTTTAATTGATCAATTCTGCTCTGTTTGCTTTGTGCCATAGGAAAGGGTACGAAAGCGTTAAGAGAAAGGAAGTGGGTAGGTGTTGTATCCCAGATCAGGAAACGAGACCATAAGATCAAATCCACCACACTGGTTTGTAGGAAAAACAATCCTTTTTTATTGATGAAAAATTGGTTACAAAAGAAAGGCAAATGCAAAGTCAAAAAGCCACAATGGAAACACAGCAGTCAGGAAAATCTCTGAGCTTGAGCAAAATTTCAAAAGACCATAATACAAAAAGCAGGAACCTGTTAGCATCTCACTAACCATGTACTTGAAAACTAGAAGCCTCTGGGATTACCGGCCATGGAACACAGGAATTCTGCCAAGGCACAGCCTCAGTCCAAAACATTGCTTGATCTAACGAGACATCCGGAAGGAGGCCCCTTAAACCAAAGAAACTATTCCTTGAAACGCCCCTTGACTTTGAAGCCTGGGCCTGTCTCTCCTGTAATCTATTTGACCTTCGTAGAAACTGTGAATCACTCCTGTTTCTAGCTATCTGTTCCCTTCGGTCCTCATTAAAAAACCCAGGTGTGATTTCCTCTGGAGAGCTATCACGGCTGGATTCCAAAACATTTTCATCAGGCTGTTCAGTTTCACTTTCCTCGCCACTGACCTCAGCATCAACAACAGTTTCAACACTATCAGGGAGAGATACATGTTCAGTGGCTTGCTCAGTTGGAAATACAATCAGAGAATCAGGTTCACACAGAGATTGGGGCTCAGGTTCACACAGAGCAGGCTGAACCCCAACAGTAGGGCCATGCAAATTCCACACCAATGGAGAGAAAAAGGAACAGTGGCATGTGGCGCTCATTAGAACTTGCAATGTCATTGGAAGGAGGGCCTGTGGTGGCTCCTCAGCACTGGGTTATAGCTGTTTGTGGAGGTAGGCGGCTGTCTGTGTAAGTGGACACCCTTACTACATACACACATACAGATCTTCACTTTTATTATGTGTATAGATACCTTCTTTGATGTGTCTCTCTCCTGCCACCCAACAGGAAGAAGAAGGGCCCAGCCCCATCCCCACCCCCTCTAGTCCTTAAAGTCTTCACGCGGCCTTTGCTCTTTGATATTGTGTCACGGGGCTGTGTGGAAGACCTCGATGGCTTGCTGACCTTCCTCTTGGCCAACAAGAAGCGCCTCACCGACGAGGAGTTCCGGGGTCAGTCTACATTACCTCTATATTATTTACTCAATATAAATAATACACTTGATTTATATTCTGTCCTTCTCCTCTAAGGGGATCAGAGTGGATTACAGCATTTTACATACATAGGCAAACATTCAGTGCCTTTACAGTCATATACAATGAGACACACAGGCACAAACAAAGGAAGAGGCCTCTCCCTTCATTTCTGGCTCATCTCTGGCTCTGGGGGAGATGTTCTTCTCCATTTCCAAGCCAAGGATCCTGCATTGCCACCTCCTGGTTGTGTGGTCGACATGACTACTTGGATCATCTATTTGCCTTTTCCAGCCAGAGCTGTACCTATTTATTTATTCACATTTGCATGTTTTTGAACTGCTAGGTTGGCAGGAGCTGCGACCAACAGCGGACGCTCACCCCGTCCCATGGCTTTGAACTGAAAACCTTCAGGTCAGCAGTTCAGTAGCACAAGAGTTTAACCCAGGCATGGGCATACCCAGGCTTGTGGCCCTTTGAGGTCTCATGTTCAGCCCCTGTCTGTCTCAGCTCTCCTCTCAGCCAATATCCCAAGGCTGAGAGGAGGGCCGAGGAAAAACATGTAGCTCATGCCAGTCACATGCCTCCTCCTCCTCTTTTCTGCCTGGGAAAGTGGGAACCAGCCATCTCCCCAGATGAAGAAGAAAATGGAGGGGAAGGCAGGCTACTGCTGTAGAGATCTCTGGCAACAGCGTCTCCTGTCCTCCTCTTCTCTGCCTGGGTAAGAGGCGAGCAGCAGTCTCCCCAGATGGAGAAGAGTGTGGAGGGGAAGGCAAGCCGCTGCCATAGAGTTCTCTGGCAACAGCGTCTCCTCTCCTACTCCTCCGCTTAAGAAAGAGGCGAGCAGCCCTCTCCCCAGGTGGAGAAGAGTGTGGAGAAGAAGGCAGGCCACTGCCATAGAGATCTCTGGCAACAGCGTTTCCTCTCCTCCTCCTCTTCTCCGCCTGGGAAAGAGGCGAGCAACCGTCTCCCCAGGTGAAGAGTGTGGAAGA